CTTCCGCTCCAGTTCCTGCTGCTGCTCTTCGCCATCGTCCTCCGCCTGCCTCCTCTTCCTCCTTCTTCTCCTTCGGCCACGCGCAGAGGGGGGTGGGGGGAGGTGGGAGTGCTTCTTAGAAGCACTCCTGCTTCTTAGAAGGCGTGTGCCTTCTCTATAGATGTAAGGCCGGTGCCTTCTAAGAAGCAGCCTCCCAAGAAACCTTCCCCCCTCCCACAACCCCCTTGTGCGCGCCGCCAAATCGTCCTCCTCATGCCTCCTCTCCCTCCTTCTTCTCCTGCCGCCTGCTGCGGCGATCCCGGAAGAGAGGTGCGTGCGCGCTGGGGCAGCAGTTCTTCACCAGTGCGCGCAGCTCCCGTTTGTGTTGTCGACCGAGCAGCACACGATTGGGCCTTCTCTGGAGTTCCAGGTCCAGCATGCCATGCCACGCGTCGACGGATAGAGGAACACAGCGCAACGGGACGGGACGCATGGGAGGGGTAGGATGTCGTATTCTGCAGGCGCCACATCCGCCGGTCCCGTTGAGTTTGTCGGGGGCCTTCTATCGACTGCCTGTCCCGCGAGCTCGCGTTGGTGTTGGTTCAGCAAGGGCTCCCCCGAGGGCGCGAAGTTATTCGCGCTTCGCGCTTCGCGGTCCTCGTTCCTTCTCCCCCTCCTCCTCGTCCTCCTTTTCTCCCTTTGGGGGGGTGGCGCGAGAGCGCGAAGTTATTCGCACTTCGCGCTTCGCGCAGCGCGAAGCGCGAAGTTGGGAGCCCTTGGTTCAGAGTTTTCACGGGTGCTTCTTGGATCTGTTGGGTTTTGATGGGGGGCTTTTCGGCGCCCCCCCAGGGCCTGCAGGGGCTTCTTGAAGTTGAGGTCTCCACGTGGCCGTTCCGGTTTCCTGTCCGGGGTGTTGTCTTTGAACCGTCCCAGGGGCGTCTCGGGTTGTCTTGGAGGCCTCTTGGGCCGTCTTGGGATTCGCGGCGGCGGAGGATCGCACGAGGAGGAGGGGGAGCCGCACATGATTCGGATCACGTTCTGCGCGAGGTGCAGCCATGCCAAAGAGAAGCAGAAACCGCGCAGCGGCAGCGCGAACTGGTACGAGAGCGTCTGCACAGCACGGTGTTCGAACGAAGAGTGTCTGGCGCTTTCTGAATTTGAGGGGGACATCTTGACGGCGCAGAGATAACAAGAATACAAACACGCAGCCAGGAAACGGCTCGGCCGAGAGACGCGGATGAAGTCGTGGAGTCCACAGCGCGCGGCGAACCATCGCAGACGAAAGGCAGAGGCAGAAGAGAAACCTCTGACGTGCTGCGTGGTAGCATGCTTGATAACCTTCTTGGAGAAGGGGCATATGGAAGAGAGCCAAGCGCAACATCACCGCTAGAAGAAAGACAAGGTTAAGTCGGGCATGTCCCGCAACAGGAGGAGTATGCCAAAGTAGCCAAGAAATACTAAGGGGACGATTTGTGATTTTTTGTTTGATTGTTTTGGGCACGTTTCTTCTTCATTCGAAGAAAAGGGCTGTCCAACATCCGCCTGTAGGAGGACATGCCCGACCTAAAGAGAAAGAAGCCATAGCTTGCTTAGAATGCAAGGCTCTGGGGTTCACTGCGAGCAGTTGGCAAGCGCATCGGTGCAACAGCAAGTGCCGAAGAACATCACCGAAGGTGTCGTTCTCCGTGGCGGGTGGCCCCGTCGCGCGCGCCGAAACGAACGGCACCTCGAAATGCATGCATTTCGCGCGAATGATACCCGTTCGGGTGACTAATCGGGAGATCGACCCTACAAGGACGGTGCACATGCCGAACTCTCTGGAAGTAGGGCCAGGGGGGAAAGAGCGATGATGGGTGATGAAGAACATGACAAGGAGAACGTTCAGAAGGAGGAGGAGAAGGAGGTGGAGGAGGATGAAGAGGAGGAGGAGGAGTACGATAAGTATGATGAGGTGGAGGGGACCCGACACGTGGGATATGGAATCTCTAGACATATAATAGATATATGTTGGCCGTCGGTCCATCCCGCCGCCGTGCCTGGCTTGTGGGTGAAAGTCTGCAGGGAGCATCTGAGGGGGGTGGTTACAGAGCCAATTGGGAACCTTTTCGGGTTTCCAGGTGGCCTGTTGGGTATTTCTAGGGGCGTCTTGAGGCCTTCATGAATCTCTGGGGGGCCTCTCGAAACCGAGGGCACGACATGTCCGTTCGGAGGTCCTGCCTGGGCCCCATTTGGACCGTCTAGAGGGCCTTGTGGGCAGTCTTGGAGGCCTCTGGGGCCGTTTCGGGTCCCCTTTTGTTTCGTTTTTGGGCCATTTTGGAAGCCTCCTGGGCCGTCTTGCGCCGATCTTGAGGGTCTCTTGGGCCGTCTTGGAGAGCCGGGAAGCCGTGATAACGAGATCACCAATCTCCTTGAACGATCTCAGGAATAACAATGACTTCTAGACGCTACGCGTATCCCCACCAGCCCATCCACAATCGATGCGTAGGGGAGCTGACGGAGGAAGGGATGGCGGCGGCGGCGACAACGGCGGCGAGGAGGAGGAGGAGGAGGGCGAGCAAAAATGCCAGATGTCTCTTGAATGCCTTTCGGAGCCTGTTGGGATATCTCTTGGGCGCTTCTTGGAGGCATCTTTGGACGTCTGGGGGGTCTCTTGGCGGTCCTGGGGGGCTCTTGGGCGTCTTGAGTGCGTGGGGGGGCCTCTTGGAGGCCTCTTGGGAGCCTCTTGGGGACATCTTGGAGGCCTCTTGGGGCCTCCTGGGCGCCTCTTGGGACCATCTTGGAGGAGATCGATCAAAGAAGAGGTTGGTGGCAATTAGCGCCCCCCCTCGGGAGCCCCCAAAATAGCCTCCTAGATCCCTGAAGAGGGCCCCAAGAGCGCTCCTGGGGCCGTCTTGGGGCCCTCTTGGGGCTATCTTGGGTCCTCTTGGGGCCATCTTGGGCCTCGGAAGGCCATCGGAAGCGAAAAGGCGAGAAGGCAACAATCATCGGTGTTCCTTAGATTTTTGAAGGGTTTTAGCCTCTTGGAGGACTCCTTGGGGAGCTATCTAGCCTCTTGGAGCCGTCTTGGGGCGGTCTTGGGGCCTCTTGGACCATCTTCAGAGCCATCTTGATGCAGCTTGGCCCATCTTGAGCCATCTTGGAGGTCATCTTGGGCTTCTCGAGGCGCTCTTGGGGCCGTCTTGGGCCATCTTGGGCGCTCGAACGCGTCGCCGCGCCCCCCGTCCAGGTCCAGGGGAGGGGGTAGGGGGAGGGGTCAAGACCCCCCCCCGCCCGCAAGCCGTCTCGCTCACTCCCACCCGCCCTCCCGACGCATGCGTAGCACCCGAGTCTGGCCCGAGCCCCAGCATATTCAGCAGTCGTCTTTGGATGGGTAGCTACTGGGGGCCAATCCGCCGCCGCCACCGCCGCCTCCGCCGCCTCCGCCGCCGTAAACCCCTCTCCGAAGGGGAAGAAGGAGGGGTGGAAGAGGAAACTCTCTAAACCACCTACGCCCAGAGGGCTGGTGGGATTTTGCGTCGTGGGGCCTTCTTGGGCGGCTTCTTGGGGCGTCTTGGGGGCATCTGGGGCCGTTTTGAGGCAAGCTTGGGCGTGTTTGAGCGGTCATCCGTCTTGGAGGCCTCGTGGGCCCCTCGTGGCAGTTTTTGGGCCCGGTATCCCCCCATTGTGCGTTCGTCGGCGGCCCGGGGGGCGGGGGGTCAAATTCCTGGTTTGGGGTCCCTGTGGGGGGGTGGATCTGGGGGGAGAACAATCTCACACGCGTGGGGACCCACAAGGGATCGGCGGATTTGGAGCGACGGCGCCTATTTTGCCCTCCCTCTTTCCCCTCCCTCCTCCATCGCCAGGAGCAGATTTGGAAGGGGGAGGAGAGCCATGTTTGAGTGGTCTCTCGGTGTCCAGCTTCGCGCTGCATTGTGGCAGCGCAGCAGCGCATCGGGAAGGAGGTGGTGTTTAAGATCTGGTCCAGAGTAGAGCTTCGCCCGTTTGAATTCGTTCTTGGGCTCCCTCCTTGTCCACAGCCTATTTATGTTCCTTCCCCCTCACTTCTCCTTTCCTTGTTCTCCTCCTCCTCCCTCTTGAAGGTATGCTGAAGGCTCCCCGGGCTCGTTGTGGCGACCTCTTGGCAGCCTCACCGGGCCATCGCAGGGCTCTTTTGGGGGGGCTTCTGTCGCGGGGCCTGTTGGGGGTCTCAGGGCCGCCTTGAAGCGCGGTGCTTCCAGGGAGCTCTTGCAAGCAGGCGCGGTTGAACCATCTTGGGGACGTCTGGCTGGGTTGCGGGGGCGGTCTTGCAGTTCTCTTGCACCGTCTCGGGGGGTCTCGGGCAATCTCGGGGCAGTTGTTGGGGTCCGTGTTCGGACGTCTTGGTTTGTGTGTGTTATGTGTGTGTTATGTGTGTGTGTCATGTGTGTTGTGTGTGTGCGTGCGTGCGTGCGTGCGTGCGTGCGTGCGTGTGTGTGTGTGTGTGGCTCTCTGGAGCTTTGCCGATACGACCCGACGCAGAGCAAGCCCGTGGAGCAAGCATCATGTTGCTTTTCTGCTTTGTGAATGCGTTTCGGCCTCTGATGGCCTCGCTCGAGGTTTCCTTGGGCATCTCCCGGAGTTTTCTCGGCGCCTCCTGGGGCTTTGGGGGTATCTTGGAGCTTGCGGGGTCTCGTTGAGACGACTTCGGATTGACTTTGGGCGTCATGCAGCGCTTTGGGGCGGTATTGGCTGTCTTGGCGCTGGCTTGCGGCCGAAACGGTCGCCAGAGAAAAAAAACAGGGTGGACGATTTTAGGAGTTGCGCTTCGAGGGGTGTGTCGGTCATCACGTTACCAGCTGCACACCCGAGTGTGCCACAAGCGCGCGATGGCGATCGATACAGGCGTCGTTAACGGGAACAGATCGCCCCTTTTATCCTGGTCCCCTTCTTCTTCCCAATCTCTCTCCTGTCCCCCCCTCCTGGGCCACCCCTCCTGCCCATCATGCTTCTGCTGTTGAGCCTCCTCGACTCGCAATCCGCCCGCCCATTCTTTCCGTTTGTGTAGCAGTCGTTTTGGCCCTACGCATACCACGTACGAAGAACAACATATCCGGCACTCTTCCTGCTCTGAATCTCATGGATCAGGTCTTCGCGATGAAGCTAGGAGAAGGCACCCGTGACGTGCTCCAACTATATCAGAAAGCTCGTCGGGCCATCAGCGATTGCGACGATTTGATTCTTCCTGAGTTGATCGTGGCTGCGCAGCAGAGTGCAGGAAAGTCAATGCTTCTGACCCAATTATTGGGAGGAGGTGTGACGTTTCCGTCCGCGACGGGGACTTGCACAAAGTGTCCTACAGTTGTATATTCCAAATGGTCTGCCGGCCCACAGAAGTGCACATTCAAGAAACGATTTTTTTTCGACGATGTTTCTAAAACTGAGTTGAATGAGGTACAGGTTCACCCAGGTCCAGCCAGTGACAGCGAGTTGAAAGGCACACAAGAGGTGACCGCTGAGACTTGGAATCTTATACCAAATGAAATTGCAAAGCTCCAGAAAGAGATTCTGAAAGGGCCCGGGAAAGACCTAAAGTTGGAGTTTAGCCACAATGAGATCATTGTCGAGGTGGAGGGGAGCGAGTTTCCAGATTTGATCATCAAGGATCTCCCAGGGTTGGTTGCTGGGATGGATAAGAGACTCTGCGAAGCACTGCAGAGCATCACGGAACGCAGCATGGAAAAGACAAATGCTATCATTTTGGCTTGCATCACTTGCGAAACCCACAGCGACAATCAGGGTATATTGGAGCTTGCTCGGAAGTTCGACAAGGAAGGAAGAAGAACGATTGGAGTTTTAACAAAGCCAGATCGTATTGAGGCGACTACCGAGAAACCATGGATCGAACTCCTCAATAACGCACACAAGCCCCTGAAGTATGGTTGGTACGTAGTGCGCTGCCCAGACCAAAAACAATATCGTGATCAGATCAGCAATTCCATGGCTCGCGAGAACGAAACTCGATTTTTTGATGAGGAGGACGTTGGGAAAAAGATGAAGAGTGCACAGCCAGACCGTTGCGGAATCAACAAGCTGCTGGCATGCGCTTCTTCAATTGTTGCCGACCTCGTGCGTGTCCAAGTCCCTGTTTTACGTACCAGGCTCCATGGTAGAATCGCCACCCCCAGCCTACCCTCATTTCTTATATTCCCTTCGTCCTCTTTGAGGGGATGAAGATTAGGAGTGGAAATGAGTGGGCCGTAGGTTTCTGGCCCTGGGGAGGATATGCCAGAACATCGAGACGTACAAGGCAGAGTACGACCGACTGTTTGAGTCATGCGGCGTTGCCGTCCCAGAGGATCGTATCAGGGACCACCTGCTGAAAGTGATCGGCGACGTCTGCCGCCCCATGGAGGATGTGCTTCGCCGCAGCGACCGCACGTCCTCCGTGCTGTGGCAGTCCGTGAGGGAGAAACTGCGGATTGCCAGAAAGAAGCTGGAGAAGACCGTCCCGACGTCGAAGCCGCCTCCACAGGCTTCCCTTGCGGGCCCCAAGCTCACTAATTGCAGCCAAGACGCTGAAGTACAGGCGGCCAGGTTTAGTAGGTCGACCCTGCAGGAGCAAGGGTACTCGTGTCCTGTGTCTTGCGACCCATGCCTCCTGCATTTCTGTGGCAACGTGGCACTCGGAAGGGTCTTGTGTCCTCTCGCGTGTCCTCTCCAATCATGCCCGACTGTAAGGACCACTTCGGACGGGTCAGGACGAGGATAGATCCGTTCGAGAGCGTTCCGGAGCGCTCCCAGAGCTCTCCCGGACGCTCTTAGAAGGACGCGGCGCCCGAGACATCCTCCAGAGCCGCCAGATTCTCGAGTTTTCCTCACCCGATTCTATCCTCGTCCTGGCTTCGTTTTACGCCAGGGAGGCGGAGGAGGAGGAGCAGGAGGAGGAGGAGGAGGAGGGGGGGAGAAGGAGGAGGAGGAGGAGGAGAGGGAGGAGGCTCGAGGACGAGGAGGAGCAGGAGGAGGGGGAGGTGGAGGAGGGGAGGAGGAGGGACTGGAATTGCGCGGGCCGCTCTGTTGGCGTAGGTCGTGGAGCCCAGTCGTGTCTGAGGCTCACCGTGGCCAGGGCAGCCCCTCCGTTTCTGGTTCATCGTTCCCCAATTCTAGGCCTCCTAGATGGGGTCGGAGTAGATGGGGTCGGAGGATCGCGCCGCATCGCCGATGCATCGCCGATGCGGCTCGATGTGCAGCCCGATTTGCGTCACGTCGACGTCGCCGAGGCATCGCCAACGTCGACGATGCATCGCCGGTGCATCGCCGATGCATCGCCGATGCATCGGCGATGTATCGCCGATGCATCGGCGATGCGGCGCGATCCTCCGACCCCATTTACTCCGACCCCATCTAGGAGGCCTCTACCAATGGTACACGATGACTGTTGACTGTAGCGATGAGGCTATTCATACAGTTATGTCGGGCACGTCCCTCTACAGGAGGAATATCCTAAAATAGTCCAAACAAAATATGGGGACGTCTTTTTGCTTTCATTTTTTGTATAAGTTTGGTATAGCGTTTGACAATATTTGATTTGTTGTCCAAGATCTGCCTGTAGGAGGGCATGCCCGACCTCACAAGGGTAGCACTATGACTGTACACTGTAGCGATGAGCATACGTATACAGTCAACCCGCACAGTAAGGATGAGCGACCTTTCAAGGTTACCCTTGCATCCTTCCCCTTCGGGCAATCCTTGACCGCTTTTGCTGGCCGCGCCCCGCTCGCAAAGAGTCGACATGACCTTCCAAGGCCTTTGCATGCTTACCGCGCATCCTTACTACACGGGTTGACTGCCTATAGGACCACCCTTCGGGCGATCAGGAGATTGGGGAGATGAGGATGGATGCAGCCTTTTGGTTCTCTATTGCCGCTTGATTAGGTTTTTAACGGTCTCGCTCTCAATGTGTCCACCAACCTGTATACATTTTTATATATCTATATATATGCATATATGTATATCTTTGTGAGCCGATTGGTTGCACTGCCTCACGACCTCACGAACCAGCGATACCACTATCACATTCGGTATACTTGCATATGTTCACACCTGTGTGCGTGTACATGCAGCTGCCTGCGGCAAGTCCGGCCACCGTGTCAGCCGAGCTTCCTGGTTGGCGATTGCTCGAGGGGGCGCAGGAGGCCGTCGTGCGTGATACCTCGTGCCTCCAGGCTTGGGTGGGCCGTGATGAGGATGATCATGCTTATGAGGATGACTGGGATGATTGCGACGACGACGACGATGATGATGTTGATGATGGTGGTGATTATGATGATGACGGTGATGATGCTGCTGCTGCTGGTGATGCTGATGATGGTGAGGATGATGATGACGCCGACGACGACGATGATGGCGATGATGATGATGCTGATGATGCTGCCGCAGGAGAACCACTGCGATATCGAATTGCCCAATAATTCTAAGTCTAAACTCAGATCTTACTTGCAGTGCTGCATGAGCTGATTCGCTTTGCGTTCTGAAGCAGTTTCCATATCGCGAGCGTTTTCAGTGTGGTTCCCTGGAGTTCCGTGGACTTCTTCAGCAAATCGTCGGTAATTTGGGGATATTAGGTGTTATATGCGATTCACTCTGATTCTCTCAGCCTTCTATTTTTGCCACCGTGGGTTCGTCGATTTGTCGCGTTCTCAGTAGATTGATCGAGCATTCCGTCGGGTCCTACGGACTTGTTCGATCGGTTTCCCAACGCAATGTGTGCGCACAGGTTATATGTCCTACCTTAGGTGCGTGTCGCACATGTCTCCCGCATGGTTTGTTGTAGCGTGCAGCGCGCGGTGGGTGGTAGTCTTGTATTTTAACGGCGGGAAAGTCTTCACGTTGTCCTGGATCAACGTGCGCATACTGCGCGCACGCCGATTGGATTCCCAACGTTTACGTAACGTGCGTAATAGTGGGATAGCCGTCGCGCTGTCCTGGATCAACATACACATTGCGCGCACGCCGATTGGATTCCCAACATTTGCATTACGTGCGCTCTTACACATCGCCACCATATGGTGGAACGCGCAACAATCGGGGCTGGACAGAACCCCCAATAGTGACACGTCGTCGATTAGTGAATTGTCCGTTTTCGGTTCTCGAGAGGGCGCCGTGGCCGTCAGTTTCCACGCGTTCGCCCGCCAGAGTTGGGCCCGAGGTCGTTTTCACTAAACCACGTTTTGCTAAAGGGGGTTCTGTCCATCCCCGAAACAAGCGCGCCGGCGCGCCGCTGTCGCGCCAGCCGTTCGCGCGCGCCCGCGGAGCTCTGTGCACTTGCGGTGGAAGCAGTGCCTTCGATGCTCGTTTCGGGGACCTTCCTGGAGCCCACCTAACGGATCTGTTCGACCCCAGTTCGACTCAAGTTCGACTCAAGTTCGACTCAGGTTCGACTCAGGGTCGACCCAAATCGACTGACGTTCGACGCAGCTTCGACGCACGAGTGGAGCGAGTGGCTCCAGGAAGGTCCCCAGAACGAGCATCCAAAGTGCCGTGCTTGCCAGGGGCGGAGAGCTCGACGCGGACCCCCTCGGAGCGCCCCGCCCGGATGTCGGGCAGCTCTGCATGGCCCACTCCACAGAAGCATACACCTTCGGCGATGCTTAAGAAAACTTACGTTTTCGTCCAGAGTCTCGATTATTCTTAACGCTTCAATGTAAAACCTAAGATTTGTATAGAAATGTTGGGTTTTTACTCCAGTTCTGAGACTATGAATTTCTTAACCCATGATTTCTTAAGCATTTCGCGTGGTGTACACCAGTCCCCATGCGCACTTTGAAATTGCACGGGCCACTGTTATGGAGTCACTAGTTGCTAGTTTCCAGATTGCGACTTCTCGGTGGAGGGCAATAAAGAAATGACCATGTGCGCGTGATGAGTTAGTTCTGTACTGCCCATAGTGCAGCACGTAGATCAGAAACCATGTGATTTGCAAAACTCATTCAGTCACGGGTGAGGGTTGATTTTTGTTTCTAGGCTAACACGCCGGCGTTTCTATTGTTAACATTGCAGTGCCCCTTAAGCGCGCGGACGCTCGCGCGCGCGCGGAAGGGAAGTTCAGTTTTGCCCGCAATGCAAAACATACAACAGAGACCATGCATTGTTGAAACATCAGATCTGCCGTTGTTGAGCTTTCACTCTGGTTTTCAATTCAACATGACGACATGTCTACTGCTGACACTACATCATAGATCCACACACGCGCGCGCGGGTAGTTCTGCGTTACCAATATCCCAACACAAATTGCAGATACCAGGTGAATGTTTTCATACCATCTACCGCCTGAACCGATCCATTCTGGTTCCCATTCAAACAAGGTGATCTTTCTTTTATGGACATGCAGAACTCCCTATGCGCGCGCGGGCGCTGGGAGTTCTGTATCGTCCATTATACAAGGCATGCGCCAGAACCAATGCTGATTCGGAAATCTAATCAGTTATCGTTAAACGATGGATGTAGCCTCCACGCTAACACGAAGATCTTTCGATTGTGGACAATACTGTACCCCCCGCGCGCACGCGCGGACGCGCGTTCGCCGGGAGATTTGTATTGCCCACATATGCAAAACATACAACAGAAACCATGTCAACCTTGCAGCTCCCAGGCCAGCATGGTCGCTTATCTAATGCGGAAAAAGCAGAACTCCCTACGCTGGATCGCGGACGCGCGCACATGAGTTTTGCAATGCTCAGCGGTATTTTTCTGGCAATTAAACTGAACCCTTGGCGTGATTTGCAAGTTGACATGGGCTTCGTGTACGTCTTGGTTGACAAGGTAGAAAGCCCCGCGCCGCCGCGCCCGCGCGCTCGCGCGTGGGGAGGTCTGTGTCGTGAGCAGGGGGGACGTCGCAATGTTGGCGTGGAAACTACATTGAGCCTCAAGTTGATGTCGATGTTGATGCATGTTTCCTGTATGAGCGATTCAGAGTTCCCTGCGCGGGCGGCCGTGGGCGCGCTGAATTGCCTACGATAGAAACGTGGCCGTGCTGACATGACGAGGATCATCAGTTCTCTACTGCGGCAGGAGCTGTTTTCAAGCTAAAATGCGTTCTGGCGTACATATATATATATATATATATGCGCAATACTGAGCACCCCGCGCGGCGCTCGCGCACCCGGGGCGTTCTGTATTGTCCACGCGTGACCAGGTGCCAAGATGGTCTGAGCACTGGGTCGAATTCTTAACAGTGGCCAGTCGGGCTTCCAACTTGACGCGGGCCTTTTATGCCTGTTCTGTAAATTCGATGACGCAGAACTCCCCGCGCGCGCGCGCGCCCGCGCGCGCGCTCGAATTTCTGCGTTGCCAGCCGGAAAGATTCCAAGTGCACCCTCAGTGGTGACAAATTGGTTCCCCAAGGTATCATTAGTTTCGGCGTTTGGTTTGTATTGCGGGCAATTCGGATATCCCCGCCCGCGGCGCGCCCCGAGAGTCCTATGCTCAACGGGATCGAGAATTTGGCATGTTTGCTTGGAAACTGTCGCCAACTGT